GGTCTACGTGATTTTTCCAACTGCTTCCTCTTTCTGTCCTTTGAAAGATTTAGGCACGCTCTGAGATGCATGTAGATTAAACAGAGGATTTCTGCTTCTATGCACCAGGGCAGGAAAAAGTTGTTAAAATGGAACCCAGGCACATGGCAATGCCAGTAGTTAGGCACTGCGAGGCTGTCCTCACAATTGATATCTAACTTCAAAATCCTAGACTGATGCCTAGAGAGAAAGGGAGTCGCCATCTCACATCAAATCAGTTTTTTTAAGATGTCTTTTCAGGAGGACAAGGATTTTCAGGGGAAAGTTACAGAAAGCTGTGGGATCTAAGGAGGAAATAGCTTGCCCGTTAAAAACAAACAAACAAAAACAAAACAAAAACAAACCATGCTCCTTATTTTTTCATCTTCTCTCTGTTGCAGCTGTGAATTCTACTAGGATTCAAATAATGTATCTAGCCTGGTTCTGAGTCATAAATACTTCTTGGTAAGGATGTACTCATAGGCAATATGTTCCCTTGGTTATTTATTGTCACTGGAGTTGAAAAGTACATCTGTTCACAGAAGTAGCAAAAGTCCCAAGCATCTTCTTATTTTATAAGGTTGGACGGGAGTGGAAATGAAGGTAGAAGTTGTTCTTCTGTTAGTCACCTTTGATAGGAAGATGTCACCCTATGCATGAGCACCAGTTCCTTACCATTTGCTAGGCTGGGATTATCTTCCCTAAATCCTTTTGAGTTACTTATCAAAACTGCTACCTTCATACATAGGTGATCTAGATCATGCCTTAGAAAGAAAAAATGTGCTGGAAGTCCCACCAAATATAGGTCACTGTTTCTGCCTGTTAAGCCACGCTGGCTGTCAGCTGGCCATCATTCACTGCTGACACTTCTCTGTTACAGTTTTAGTCTTCTTTAGACACAAGTTATATCAAGCACAGTTCACTTTGCAAAACTCAGATCGAATACAACCATGCCAGTTAATTAAGAAGGGGTAGACTTGTGCAAAATTTCTCATTTGTCCATGCCTTCCTGTTAGCACACTCCTTGCTACAGTCTTGTCTTTGCCATTTAGTTCTCTCTGAAACAAAAATTTGGCCTGGTTGTCTCTACTACAAGCCTCATGCTCTGATAGGAGTAAGGATGAAGCTACACAATTTGTTTTAGCAAGCAAGTTTAGCCCTATATATGCAAATCATGCTGCACCACTCGTCCTCTGGCCAGAGACTGAGCTTGGTATGTTTAATTTAGTAAGAGAAATGTATCTGTGTTGGTTTTTTTTTTTTTTTTTTTTTTGTATTTTGAAACTCAAAACTTAGAACATTGCTTGCTGGAAGGTCTTTAAGTCTTACAAACACAACAGTAACAACAGATGCATCTGATATTCCGAAATACAGTACTTTACCAGTCCTAACTGCAAGGTTTACAGTAGTAAAGGATTTCTATTTTGGAATACCGTCTATGAAAAAAATGTATTCAGTAAGGTATTCCTCCCTTTCTGGGAGGAGTCACAGAATGGTATTTGCCCAAAAAGTTGTCTGCTGAGTCATCACTCATTCCTCTCTCTGTTGTGTATCTATGTAATACCTTAACAGGGCTAGGCTGAAGTACACTATTTTCACATGACAGACATCCTACAAACCTTAATAAGAATGTGGAAGGAGAACAATACTTAGCAGTACATTTTGTACTTGTAAAATGGAAATTTAGTAAAAATTGGCAAGAAAATGCATTTTAGTAGCAGTCAAGGATGGACTCTGTAGTAAAGTACAAACTAAAGTTAAATATGTAGAACACAACTATCATGTTCAGACAGACATGGGAATCAGGAAGTAAAATAATGTGTTACTACTACTGGATACTACATGCATTTGACTTCAGTAACATTGAATTAGCCATTCAGATTTAAATTATGGTCTTTCTGAACTACTTATGGACAGTTTTCTACCAGTGCTACACAATTTTAAAAGTCCACATCCTCTACTGGAAACTGGCAGTTTACTGGGGGAAGAAAATTTTCTGAATGAGTAATAAACCTAATCCCCAATGAGCTTGCTGGAAATGACCTTCAAAATGTGCTATCAGCCTGATCAGCAAGAGACAGTGAACTCTGATTACTAATCACTAATGTGTCTCTATTTGCTTTTATTAATAAATTAAAGAGATGACTTAATGCAAGGGGGAGTTCTAAGTCATTTCTTGCTTTCCCTCATAAACCACATCAGATCAGATAGTCTGCTAATGGGAATCATCAGAATGATTTTGGTGGAGTTGCATTCCTTTGCATCAGCTGAGGATGTGGCCATTTGCTATTTTAAAATTTTTTTTTTTTTTTTTTTTTTTTTTGTGAGATAGAGAATTGCAAGAAAAAGCAGAACATATAGAAGAAGTATAGAAGTTATGTCAAATAGGTAGCTATGAAATTAATTACTGTCATCACCAAATCTATATTAATTTAAACTCATCAAGAATTCCTTCACCTCTGATAAATTAAAGGCACAGTGTGGCCCCATGCTGTTAGCTGGTGGATGAGGTAAATTGCATCCTTTGATTGAAAGACATTGGTGGTGAACCACATACTTGCATCTTCTTTTTGCATTCCCATTTTCTGACACCACTGAAAAATCTGATTCCAGAATGGATGTCTGTGCTCTAACTGGGGAATTTCACTGTAGGGAAGGAAGGGAATGAGGGAGACATTTCAAATTTTAACGAAGTCTGCAATTATTTCACTCTATATTCTCTATATTTCTGTCCCTTCTTCACATAAATATGTGCTTTAAACTAGAGTCTGAAAACGGAAGTGTTCTCTCATGCTGACTGTAGAACAATTCACACAATCTGTGGAATATACTTAAGACTGAGAGGCAAAATTTGAGTTCCTCTGAAGTTCTAAAATCATAGAACCATAGAATCATAAAAATCTAAATTTCTTCAGAAAAATGAGGAGGTGGTTCATGGGAAATACTTGTAAGTCATTTCCACCGTATGCTTATGGAGGAAATGTTCGATTCCTGATATGCATTACTGCGTAATATATTCATTATTCACCAGATGCAATACTTGTACAATTGCTAGAGAGAATATCAGATAGAATGAATAGCAGTGAGTGATATTTACTTAATTTGGAGAATATAATGTTTTCTTTTTTTTTTTTCCAGCTCTGAAACAGTATGTAATTAGCATAGTTAAAGTTAAAAAATCACCATCCACTGAATCTACTGATTGTTGCAGATCAGTCTATAATATAGCTGGCCTTCTTTATTCTTAAGCTGAGCTCAGTACCATTGTTGGAATTTCTTGGAGTTATGCATTTTCCTGTGGAGGTTCTATGCTGTCATGCCAACCAATAAAGACTTGGCAAGACTGTCTTAAAGGAAGACTTTGTCTTAAGGTATCAGAACTGGCTTGCTATATATCATAGCTTATTTTCTGTGTTGAAAGGTTATAAATATAGGAAAGCATCACTTGAATTTTGACATACTCTGTTGGCTTCACCCCTTTTGGTGTTTCTCAAACATATTGGCTAAATAAGACAGTGCTGTAAGATAGGTTAAGTCTATTTTGGATTTATAGGCAAAATTGTTTTGGTTGAATGTAAAATGCTGGCAAAGCAATGTCATCCAGCACCTGGATTGCGAAAAAGGGCCCTTCAAATTAAAATGATATTCTAAGTCTTGGGTATTGTTATTATAAATCAAAGTTATAATTCCATTTCAACTCAAAACATATGTAGAATTCTGTTTTAGCCTGATTTCCATTATGTACTGCTTATGAAGTTGGACTTCTACTTCATTTGGGAGACATACATGTTAAAATTGTAAAATTGCAATGTGTATATAAAGAGATGCATTTGCAAAACATTCTTCTTGATTGCAAAAACTTGAAGATACAGTACAATATACTTCAACATGCCATGACTGCTGCAAATATTTTTCACTTTCAGAAACCCAGAGGCTGAGATGTACAAAGTTCAGGAAGATATACTTGCATTCATTAACTCTGAAACTTGTGGTTGTTAGTAGTTCATACGTGGTGTTTTCTGGTCTGCTGCTTTGCTTCATGAGCTGTATTTCATCAGATATAACCAGTGTTTGGATAGTAACTTCATGTTACTAACTACCTAGCCTGTGAAGAGATAATCATCAGCAAAAAGAAGGATTTGAAACATGGCTTAAGAGACATTTATTAAGTTGGTTTGTGACAGTGTTTGCTTTTTTTAGTATTAAAAGACAGCCTTAACTTTAATGAAAGACAATAGGACTAAAGGAGCATCTTGTATAACCATTTCTCACATATTTTGTTGCAAAAACTCTCCAAATATAAAATAAGCATAGACTTTTATATATATGTGTGTACGTATATAAACGTATCTATAACAGACTTTGTGCCCCAAATTGAACTATAGCATCTTACAAAGCATTCACATAACAAAGTGATTGTTCCCTAACACTGTATTTAGTAATGATGAGACAGCTTTAGCCTTCAGAGAAACAAACTGTAGTCACTGTAAATAAAAATAAAAAAAAATAATAGAGGCGGTCTCTTTTCTTCCTTCTGTTTATTGTTGGCTGTCCTGAAGGAGAATACAAATATGCAGAGACAAGAGAGATTTGCAACAAGGTCTCATGTGGGAGGGTTTTCCCCACAGATGTTTTGCCTCTGCCCACATATTCTGACAGAGCAAATACTTAATGTTTATCAGTATACAGTGCCTTCTCCACTTCTGTAGAATTTTCCTGTGATGAAAAGCAGCATTTCTTTGTGTGTGTCTGTGTAAATACCTGAAACCCTCTATCTGAGAGACAGTGCTAAAGCTCTGCAATATATGCATCTGTGGAAAATCCTAATGAGACTGGTATACTGCTTCAAGCTTTGCTTGGTTTTCTGTTTCAAGGTATGTGCAAGCATTTTATTTTGTGAAACCCAGCCCTATCGAACTTGAAAAGTACAGCAAGCACAGAAGTATAACAACTTCCCAGTACTTTTAATTGATCTGGTATTTCTACAAGGTGCCACCCTTTTCCACACCTCCTGCCTCCTCCTTAAGTGACTCAGCCTCTGAAGTAGAAGTCTCTTGACTTTTCAGGCGGCTGGATGGAGAACAACAGTTTAGCTCTCTGTCTGCTTTGATTGTACCTCACTTCCAGGTATCTCCAGGTTGACTTAGCATACTGAACCACACTAAGACATTGACTTCTACCATATCTAGGTAAGAGCATTTAGTTTTTTGCTTATATATATCAAGTATTTAAAGTCCTCCATTTTCAAATTTTTGGAGTGTCCAGCTTTAAGGAATCTGATTTGCAATAAGTGAATGTGCTATGAAAATTCATGTGTCTCAGTTTAGGTCTTCAAAATTCCCTCCACCTTTGTGAAATCTCCTCTTGCCCATACTGTCTTAATTACATAATTAATTACTTTCTATTACTAATTGCAGTTCTTTGATGATGAACTCGCAGTTGAGACCCCTTTTCACGAGTGGCTGTTTTAATGTCATTTTGTCACTTTCACTCTATGTCTTGACTTATTGTTTCTTTACTGTTTCTTTGGAATTTTTATCTAACTGAAGTAAAGTCTATTAAAATATAATTTAGTCGAATTTGCTTTAGTTACTAGATTTTTTAAAAGAAAATAGCAATAGATTGTTTTAAAGAACAAACTACTCATGAAATATTAAGAATTAATTTCTACCTTTGCATGAAGTATAGCAAAATGCTTGTTCTTCTGAGATACAGTGATTTAGCCACAGAATGATTTGAACTCCTGTATAAATAGGAAAAGTTCTTTATTAGAAATGTTGCAAAATGAAAGGAAATAGACTAATAAAAAAATCTAAAATTAATACCTTCTATACTCCATTAAAACAACAACACACATTTAAAATGGATCAATATTTCTAATTACAAAGCACATACAAATTCGAGTTCTGTATTAGCAGCTGATTTTTGGCATACACTAGGGACAGTTCCAAAGCGTAATTTCTTTCAAAACAGAATCTTCTCCACCCACGTCCTGAAAAACCAGTTTTGAGAGCTCTTTCTGCTACAAATAGATGAATGACTTCTGTCTTACATTTGTGTGTTCTCCGGTCCAACCTTGCTTGTTCTAACCTTGCCTAGTTTAACTTTATGTAGGTGCACATGTTATTCCTATTTTTTACAAGGGCTGTTACAAATTCTCTGGCTTAAACTATGTAGTAAAATATTCATTTATACATACTGTATTCTTTCCAGAAGTCTAAATATGTGTTATATTGATTTTTATCTGATATGAATCTCAAGAAGAAAAATATTCTAGGAATGTGTTTTTATTGTTCTTCAATGTCTATAAAATAAATGTAGTTGTCTTGTGGTTTTCAGCAAAAGTATAGAAAAGTTAATAAATTGCCAGATAAACATTTTAGTTACAATTTTGATATTCACTTGATGTTCATTGTTAAGCTTTAACTACTCACTTGGTACTGCACTGAGTGTCTTAGGTACAGCTGGGCTGGAATTGTTTTCCTTACAGTGTCTGGCACAGTGCTCTGTTTTGATTCTAGGAGAAAAACAATGTTGTTAACACACTGATGTTTATAGTTGCAGCTAAGCAGTGCTGTACAGCACCAACACCATTCTCAGCAAAAGGCCCAAGAAGTTGGGAGGGAATAGAATTAGGACAGCTGACTAAAACTGGCTGAAGGGATATTCTAAACCACATGACATGAAGTGGAAGGAGTTTTGAAGGGGGTGTGAGTTCATCAGGCTCTCTTTTGCTGCTCAAGGGACTAGCTGGGGGATGGTGAGCAGTTGCTTGTGCATCCTTTGTCATATACATGTATATATATATGTAATAATTACAATTCATTTCCTATTATCTTTGTAAATAGTTTTATCTCAACTCACAAGTTCTACTTTGTTTTCTTTGATTCTCTCCCCCATCCCAGGGAGAGAGGGAGGTGGGTAAGTTAATGTGTGCTGCTAAGATGCTTGTAGGATCAACCCTGAGCAACAGCATTATTCTTTCTATTTCACGTCCTGAACTACAATCTTAAACTGTGGTAATAGGTGCTAGTGGTAATTTTGGAGAGAGAAGAGCACAGCATCCATTATATGTACAGACCTGCACCTACCAGAGTGGACCTTTAAGTCATAGGCTTAATAAGGCAAGGTTGGCCATGTGAAGCGTGATACAACTTTGGCTATCTCTTGCTGTGATGGGGACTTGAAAAACAGCTTTCGTCCATGACCAGGAAGTGAACCCATGTTTAGAAATACAAATTCTTATTTATGTATAGTTAGTCAAGTCTGACAAACAGTCACAACCTTTGATAGGATCATGATAGACGTTCACATGAGGGGAGAAATGATGGATGTACAAACAGCTGACTTCCAGACCATCCAGACTGCATCTCACACGTATGGTTATCTATCTAGAATTGTAATGATGTGTATCCCAGTACCATATTTCAAAGTTTTGCGATCTTTATCCTTTATCAAGATGAGGTGACTTCAATCAGTTGCTGCTCACACATCTAGGTCTTACTATACTCAAGAGAAATAAAGGTCTTACTATATTCAAGATGAAATAACAATGTTTACTGATGTGGTACTGTGATTAAATAGGATCAGATGAGATTTTCTTTAATATATCATATCTTTGACACTCCTTTTATATAAATGGAGGATAAGTTGTAAGTTAGAGCATTAACTTCAACAGTGCCTATGGAGAAAAAATATAAAAAAGATTAAACCAAAGTAAACCTGCATTTTATTCAATCACCAGTGTAGTTGTTATGCAGTATATATGTAGTTCAGAACTTCTCATTTGTTTAAGTGAAAGGAAGTAAACTGTTTAAAACACCAAGGATGTGGAACATTAGTTTTTTAATCTCTTTGTTAAATTTCTATTTCAATGATTCTAAAATTTTGAGCTATAAATACTCAAATTTTCATCTTACTTTAGAGCAGCATAGTGCTTCAAGATGAGATTTTGATGGAATATTTTGTATTTGGGGTAAAGAAGGAAGTACCTGTTTACTTTCATATGGCAGGGATCTGGTGTTTTTGAAAAGTTGAAATTGCAAGGATACAGTACAAATATGCTTGAAAGCAGTAATCAATTTTCTGACTTCTCAGAAAAGAGGATGTACCTGCCACTACATTTTTAGATGTACTTCAATGAACAACTTACACACTGTGATAATATGCAGTATATTTAAGCTGAGGAAAGAAACAATGTTTAATAAAAGTGAAATCTATGTAGTATAAATATTTATAAATAAGATCTTAATTTCTCACATATCTAGAAGCTATAGAACAGAAACATTTTTGGCTATAACTAATTCAGTCTAATGTGGAAAAAAATGATTCTTATGCAAAATGTTTGTATTAATCTTGTTTGTGTTTGTTTATTTTTTTCAAAATGTGTAAATGTGAAATCTAATTATATAGAAAGCTACAGCCCAGATCAAATCAAGGAAGGCAAGAGGACTCTGAAGTATGGGAGAATTCAGACTAGCTGAAAACTAGAAGGTCTAGCTTTAAACGTTTATGGCAGCCTGAGGTCTTCTGCTGATCAAGATATGGAAATGAGATGTAGAATTATGAACATGGTTATATGTCGACTTCTGCTGCTTTCTGAATAACTTATTACAGGAGCTACGGGAAAGTGGAGGACAGACTCTTTAGCAGGGTCTGTGGTGACAGAACAAGGGGAAATGGTTTCAAGCTTGAAGAAGGTAGACTTAGGTTAGATATAAGGAAAAAATCTTTTACAGTGAGGGTGGTGAGATACTGGAAGAGGTTGCTGAGAGAGGTGGTGAATGCCTCATCCCTGAAGACATTCAAAATCAGGCTGGAGAATCTGATGTAGTTGTAGGTGTTCATTGCAGGAGGTGGCCTTTAAAGGTCATCTTCCAACTCCAAGGATTCTATGATTCTATGGTGGTTCTACTACCAGCTTGAAGAGGCATTTGACTACCTCTGAAGTCATGTTTGAAGGTATTTTTCTGGGTTAAACTGTGTTTAAATTTCTCAAAAAATGTGGGGAATTCTGAATAAAGGAATGCTATGCCCTAAAACCTTTTGGGAGCAGCTCATTGGACTGGCTTGGGCAGTTTTCATTTTCTTTTAAAGTTTCCTGACGCTGTTTTTAAATTCAAATTTGCACTGAAGCAGCACTCCTGTTTGTTTTTATTTTGCATTCCAACAGAGTTGTTTGGCTTCAGTGGTTGAGCTCTTACTAAGAAAACCTGAACATAATTTACTACTATGCTATAGAGGACTGGAACTTCTCTTTCTCACAATTTGATTTTAGAAGTTAAAAACTTTTTTTTTAAAATCTCTTCATAGTTATGGGATGATGATAAACTGTTCATTAACCTGTGTGAATAGTGTGTTGGTTTTAGATCTCTATAAGTCGAAGTTTTCAAACTAATATGATTCTCATAGTTTTCCATCCATTCCTCTTTTCACATACGCAGATGCACACAGCTTTTAGATAATAGTGAAGATCAAGAAAAAAATGCTTTGAATTTCATCCTCCCTCTTTATGCAAGATTCTTTCCATTTTTAAGATCTTGAAATCTAATTCTTCCTCTGATGACTCTTCATCATCTGTGCAGAGACCAAATTAGAAGGGTTTTTAATTTACATTTCAAAATTGTAATGGATTAATCTTGGATATAAAACTTAAGAGTACAAAAGCAAGACATAAACCTTGAGGACAACCTGACATTGTGCTGTAAGGCAAAAATGCCTGGGTTTGAAATTTCTGAATGCCTGATGCATTTTCAGTGCTGGCTGTAAAAGGTATTGACCTGTTTCTAACGCCAATTGATGTATTCTACTTTGGGGCTTGAAGACTAGATAGTAATTTATTTTGGATGCTGTACACATGTGCAACAGAAATATTTTTTTTACCCTGACAACAATGCAAACTGAATATAGGATGAGATGACACACGGCTTCAATTAAAACATGAAGAATGGAAGAAGCAGTCTCACTGTGGACTGTTCTCAGTTCTCTGCTGGACTTTATTTTGTCATGCATGGATGTAAGAGGGAATAGCAAACCTGTTTTTCAGTTATTTTCAGAGTCAGTATTCTCAAAGAATTTTTAGTTATTCTGTAGATTTTAAAGTCAAGTCTCAAAGCATATGATTTCTGTTTGCTTGGGGATAATTTATTTTTCTGAACTAATATCTGTGGCTTTCTTTTTTTATTTTTAACAAAGGCATAGAAAGGATACTTCCTTGTTAGTTCTGTGAAAAATTTCAGTTCCCATAATGAATCCATGGAAAAAAAAACAAAGCAGCAATATGCTGTGAAGTCTACATAGCAATTTCCTGCTGTTTTAATGAGAAATATTTCAAATGCAAAGTATGATTTTTTAACAAGAAATTTTAAGCCTTAGAATATCCACAATTGATCTGATCTTGACAAAAGAAGGCTCTTCGATGTTTTATGATACTCTTCCCTTAGAAAATATCTTTTAAAATCTTTAATAGAAAATAAATGGAAGTTCCTTCTACAGAAACTACTTTTATTTCTCCAGATGAAAAAGTGCCAGCACTCATTGACATCCTGAAATGGTAAGCATCTTATTATCCAGGGACTGACTGAAATAAAGAGCAGTATCAGATGTCCAGCGTTGCTAAGTTGAAAATATAGCTGAAAATATAAATAAATCAGAACTATTATCTTTTTTTTTTTCCCTCATATGACTGTGACAGTTCAGGAAAATGTATAGCAAGAATATTCATTATTTAAAATGGGTTGCCTGAACAGTTCCCAGGAAATTCAGTACATATCTACTTAGAACCTTGTATCAGTAATTTTGAAAGGTATTTTGTAACCTGCTGCAAAATAAATAAGGCTCACTATAGCCCTGAGCATATTTTTATTGGGTGGGAATCAGATCCAGCAATCACGTGTTTTCTACATGCGCTTTGTCAACATGTGTTTGGTGCTAACAACTAAAAGAAAGGAGTGTGGCTCAGAACCTTCCAGTCAGCTTTTAAATCAGAATTTTAAACTCTTATAAACATCTGGAATTTCACAGCTCAGTAAGACAGATGAGGACTTTTGTACTTCAATACTATTTTTAAATTTAATACATTCACTTTATAATAAGATCTTCAATGTTTTCCTTTTTTGGTCATCATAAGCTCTTTTAACAATTATTTGTCAGTAGAAACATACAAAGGAATAATCTGCTGTAAGTGCAATTCATTGTGGCATCCACTAGTTGATTTTGTTTCCATACCTTTATTTCAGCGTTATTTCTAGTACCTTTGCTAAGCTTCTGCCAAAATTCAACACCATCGCCTTCCATCAGTAAAGAAACAGCCAGATGCTCTGGTCTTTCAATCTGCTATTTACATCTGTAAGACACAACAGTGTCACTCAGAGAATGTTTGTGACTTTGTAATGAATGTCTCTGTCACAAAAACTGTTTTCTTGTCCTGCTCTAAATCTTAGCAGCCTGACCAGTGGAGTGGGTTGGGAAAATCCCGGCTTAACATTGTTTTCTTGGAAAATCCTGCTTTTCAAACAGAAAACTGTTTGCTAAAGAGTATCATGTTCACATGCTTATGTTCTTGTTAGTATTACATTTTTTTCCTTACAGGATTTTTTTTGGTTATTAAAATGTCATTATGTTCCACTTGATGTTTTCTGTATAAGACTGATAATCAAAGTTTCAAAGCACATAGTGAAATTTTTGTATGACTCAATTCCCATATATATTTTTAAATCAGCATATTTGCAGGCTTGTTTTTAACCTTGTTTCAGACAGGGAAAGAAGTCAGTGACTTGTGAACTGCTGCAGGGCAAAAGAACCACCTCTTCTTCTTTCTCCCTCTCTGTCCTCAGAGCTTTGCTGTTAGCTGCAGGCCACTGAAGCTGTGAGACCTGTCAGCAGGGCTGGGCGAGCCCACGTGTGCTCCGGGCAGCATTCTGAGCCACAGGCTGATATCATCTTCCCACCTGAGTCTTCTCCTCTGAAGGTTCTCATCACCACATATCTTCTCAGGGAGGAAGCTCCAGACAAGAAGAAGAGAAAGATGAGCAGAGACGCAGGGCAGGATTATATACTGTCTTAATGAGGGATGGAAAAGTGAATACCATGCCTGAAATTCAGTTCAAAGAAGGCTGCAGTTATCTCTAAGCCATTCTATCTTACTAAACTTGTCCAAGGAGCTGATCAAAGTGGCAAATGTATTTACTCTGACTTCGAGGCTGATTCCTAATCTTACTGCCATCTTTTCTTTTTCATGTTTTATTTTAGATTCCCACAGAAGGACACCCCACTGAAGAAAATGTCAGCCTTCAGCATACGAAAGCAGTCTCCTAATCAAAGCGGTAATGCTGAGTATCCTTCAATTTCTCTTGGGGCCTCTCCCACTTACTGTTTGTGAGCACTGCTGTGCCCATTGAACAGCTCCTTTCCAAGGCACACCAACACTCTTTGATAGCAACACTGGCAGTGACCACCCTTTGACAGTCATACGCAGTTGGACTCACTACAGCTGCAAAGCCAGTAGTGTTTATTGAAACAGAGTTCCCAGGGCAGTGGTGGAGTCACTATCCTGGGAGGTTTTCAAGAAAAGGTTAGATGTCACGTTGAGTGACGTGGTCTAGTGGTACTGTGGTGATGGGTTGATGATTGGACTAAATGATCTTGGTGGTCTTTCCAACCTCAATGATTCTATTATTCTATGATTCTGTGTCATGTGAAAGCTTTTTCTGGCAAAGGTTTAGGCCAAAATACTGTGCTGGGTAGCATATCCAGGCAGTGTGGTACAAGATGGCAGTTCCCCATGGTATCCTGGTTGCTGTGGACACCCCATGGGAACATAACAGCTGGGCCATCCATTTGACTTCTATGGAGAAAATGAGAAACTGTGGAAAATTAGAATGGAAGGGAGGAGGGAGAAAAGTTGTTTAATCACTGTCAGATGGGACATAATATTTCTAAAGACTTACTGTTTCGAGGTGCCTGAGGGCCTGATTTCAGTGAGTCACTAGAGCTCTCAGCACATCAAGATGGCCATAGCCATGCGTTCAGGGCTGACCAGGGCTGGAGGCAGCTCAGCCACAAGTATAAACATTGTGCAGCCTATCCAGTGGATTGACTGCAAAAAAACCTTATTATTTGTGCATTTTACTTTTCACAGCTTTCAAGAAGTTGTGCGGATGTTGCCATTTTCTGTAGGCAGTACTCAGTGTAAGCAGCCTGCTGTAGAGAGGCACAAGACAGGAAGGAAGCAAGCATTCTGCCCTCTGAGGAGGGCTTCCCAGGAACAGCAAGACTGGAAATGGCCTCTGGAAACATGCTGGAGCCATGCACCCTGAAACAGGCTGTATCACCCATGCCCTTGAACATACTGAAAATCAGTATTTTGCTTTTTTCTGAATGTTCATCAACTCTGGCTGAATTCACTTGGGTTTGGGAGGTAATTCCTCTGTTCCCCTGTTCAAGCCCTGATGAAAAGATTAAGGCTGAAATAAATGAAGAAAGTGATGAAACAGTATATGAACAAGTGACTAGAGGCATCTGTATTCAAATCTGTACAGTGATAAGAGCATAAACTATTGCCAAAATAAGAAGAGAGTAAGCTCTACCTGTGCTCACATGACCTACATGATTGTATCAGATATGTATTCAATTTTTAATTGAAACTTAGGAGGTAGTTGATTAGATTAGAAATCAATGCTGTTCAGCAAGGTGTAGGCCTCATGCACTAGCAAATAACTTGCAATATTTCTTGAAAAATAAGCACAGTATATATCCTTTGGCTGCTGCCTTTATAGGAGAGCTCCTGAAGTCTTATGTGCACTGAGCAATTTAAAAAAGCCATGTTTTCTCTGAAATCCAAATGATTTTGAGGTAGATGATAAGAGTTTTCATAAAATGTCATTAGAATAGAAAAAGATTCCATATAACAAGTTAATAACTGGATTTATATTGAGTACTTCTTGAACATGTTATGTTCCTGTCTAAAGCACAGCACAGATTCAGATTTATTGTGCAGTTGAAAGCTACTCTGGCAAAACCTGTAAGTATGAAAAGAATGCTGGAGTTACCTCCACTCCTTGCCAAAGAGAAATTTTATCTCTGGAATGCACATGCTTGAACTCGTGTTTTTCCTACTTTCATGAATTAAAGTGTTGGATTTTTTTCCAGTGCAAATAACTGCACCAAATTGAAAATATCTACATATTTATGAGTACAGGAAGCCACAGTTCTTGCTATTCCATCTTCGTTCAAGTCCTTGATTTTTGATTGTAGTCTGTTTTATTTCTGTGTATCTTCATCCAAGTCTAGTACATTCCAGTCATTGCTAATAACATCAGTATACTCAAAACAATAAATATTTTGAGCAAATGCCCTTAGTACTGTTTTGCTTGCCAATTACAACTATATCCATTCTTGGCAGTGACTATGAGACAATGACATTGTTTAAACTGATGAAGTTCCTTCCTCTCTTCTGTTTGCAAGAAGTGAAGTGAATTTTCAGTAGATATTTCAATGAACCATAGGACTTATGCAGGGAAGGCTGTGATATTTTCATTTTTGAAGTTTTTAGCACAGGTTTCAATAAATATTTTTTTAAAAGAAACTAGTTTAAGTGTAAGAGAACAGGCTGGTACAGAAATTACACAATAAGGATGGATGATGCTTTGATCTTAATTTGTGATTGTCAACACATTCTCAAACATCTAACTTTGATGTGCATATTCATTTTGTAATACTCACAAAGGGATGCATCTTTGTTGCTCTAAAAATAAAATTAAACTTTGGGATCAAGGCCAAGAGACAGCAACACACATCTATACTCTCACATCCATGCTTCTTAAATGTTTGTCCCTTCTGTAGCACTTAGTCTTGAAGAGAGCTAGTTCAACAGAGAAGCAGAGAACATGCCTACAGCTGAGCAAATACAAATGATAAGGAGTCCAATCCTTGAACTGCTTCACTGGCCTTCTTTTATTTGGTGGTTGGACATATCTGCAGTGAAAAAGAACAGATAAGAACAGGCACAGTTTGGTCTGCAGTTAGGTACAGAGTTTGACGACTTTTTTCATGGTATTATAGTGTGCTTTTTTCATGAAGAAAAGTATTTGAAAGATAAATCTTGGCCACTGTCACTTGAAATAAATTTTTTGGTGTTCTGTTATGATTCTATGTACCACTCACTGTAGTTATTTGTCATTTTTCATGTTATTTGTCATTTTTCATGTTATCACTGCAGCTGATGATCTTGAATCAAAAGCAAGAGCTACATTTTCTTATAAATCACAGCAAAATGTCAAAATACAGCATTGAAAAATGATACAATATGGACTGTGAATCTTCCTTTAAAATTGAGTGTCCTTAATGAATATCGGATAATAATGTCTCCTGAAATGTGGTGGGTAACTGCTTTTGCTTGAATGTTGGGAATTAGGACTTCATGGGGAAAATCATTAAGGTCTCTGAAGGAAAACCTGAAAAGTTCAGTGTTTTTCATCAGTCAGGTTGTTGACTAACTGGATGCCATTGATAAAGATTTTTTGTATTTAATATTTTACCTTATTTTTACCAGGAAAATGTGGAGTTTCTAATAGGGCTCTGCTTCTAGTCATTTTAAAGAGAAATTTTGTAATGTCAAAAAAATATTCCATTCCACTTCAAAAAAGAGAATGGTATGAAACTCAGTGGGAAGTAAAAGAAATGGAAATAATGGATAATAGTTTTAATATTTTTGTTTGTTCCTGGGGTAAACTCCTCATAAAGAGAAACCAAAGGAAATAAAGATTAGCTTTCTAATACAACGAAGAACATATATTCTCACAGATCAAGTGAACATCATATTGTTAGTTACTCAATATACTAGATATCAGCATTGTTGGGCAAAGATATTTTAGGTTGTTTACGTAAGTAAATAAAAATTATATCAGTGTGCATGTTTGTTGTACTATTTCTCTTGAAAACCTTTGAAAACATAAAAATACTACATTTAGAAAAAGTTAAGCAAAACTAGATAGTTGGTTAGAAAAGAGAACCTTGTTAATTAAGCCACTGACGAAAAAGCTTCAGAGGGAGTCTGAGTCTTTTGAGAAACCTGAAGATTCAGAGAAGTTGGCTGGATGTGGGTGGATGACCATGTGATCATCTCCAGATTAGCTTTTGCTTGAAATTTGTATCCTGTCCCACATCTAAAAATACAGATACCATAGACATTCCCCTAGGAAATAGGAATCATATGTTTGGCCCTGGAAAAACCATTGTATGTATATTTCATAATTCCTCTATCAGATCTGTCATATTTGTTTACAGTAAAAAACATATCCCAAGCTACTTCGTATTTAGGATGAAACTGAATTAAATTTGGTAAACTGTCCTTCTGCATTCCTTTTAAAGTTGAAGGCATTAAGTCGCAAACTTTTCAAGGAAACAGACTGCACTAAACAAGATCATCAAACATATTCCTTGCACTTTTTTTTTTTCTGGTGGTAAAAAAGCTGAACTTTCACAGATTTCACCCTTTCTAACAGTACTTTTTAATAGTAAAGCTTTCCAAGGCTTTCTCTTGCCTTCATTTTCAAGACATGTTTCTCTGCATTTGTAGATAAGAAGAGCCCTTCTGTTGCAATTAAAAGCAGACAGCAAGCTAATCATGATGTTAACAAGCGACGGACCCTTTTGCAAGATAACAGCTGGATAAAGAAGAGACCTGAAGAAGAAAGGTAGGAAAGATCTGAAGTACATGTCTTCAGTCTTCCAGTTATCATGCTAAGTGAATATTTTCTTTGAATGTCTACTTTTTCATGAATTATATTACCAAAAATGAAATAGATCTCATAAAATAACTATTATTTACTCATCTTGATGAAACATTCATTATGTTATGGAACATTAGTCTGTTGGACTTTCAGTGACTGTTTTTTAGTAGGACTTATGTACACTGAGTATTTAATAAGATGTACTGAGCATCTCAGGCTTGTACTTTGCATGAAAAATCCCACATTTCCTGTTTGTATGTTCCAAGATTACCATCTGACTCTTTTTCACAGGTCTGAAGTCTGTAAACCTTGACAAATTCCTCTAAGGAACTTAGTAAAGTCAGAATCATTTGAAATTTACTGTAATGCAAACTGGTGCTTGTATTGGAGTAGAAACTCAACCTAGAGACCAGGTCCTCTATGAAGAGCACATAGGAAGAGATAATTCATATTCCACAATGTTTGGAGTAATCTAATAGGGAGTTCTGTAGTCCATCTGATTGAGGACAGAAATCTTTTGCCAAGATACATTTTTCTATTGTTGGTATTCAAATTTAAACTAACCACTGTCTTTATTCTCCTTGCAGTGCTGATGAAAACTATGGAAGGGCTGTGCTTAACCAATACAAATCCCAAGATAGCCTACACAGGTATCATAGATTATCTAAACATAGTTCTGATGATAGTTCTGGAGAAAAAGAAACAGCCTTCCATTATAACCTGTTCATATCAAGAGCTTTCTTTAAATAATAATCCATTATAAATGTGACTTTAATTTCCCATTGTAAATCTGTTTTCATTTTAAATCTGACATAATTATTAAGCTGATGATTGCAATAGATACAGGATTGGATCTGTTAACAACTGAATAGTCTAAAATTCTGTATGAGACTTTAATTCATTTCCTATATTGTTTTATAGGTGATGAGTTGTTTAATAAAACAGTGACAAATGTGTCATTTTTAACCTTTTTTTTATGGCAGTAGCGCAAATGAAAAGGAAGATCAGAAAACTGCACTTGGACGATACAGATCTGATACTAACTTGGACAGGTACAGATATTTTTCATATGTATTTAATTTTGTGATTCTCATACATATAAGTAGTCTTGAATATGAAGGCATAAATGAGATAAATTACATATCATTTTTTTCTATTTACTAAGTAGAAGAATTTGAACAATTTTTGCATGAATTGTAAATGAGACAAATGGAAATGTGATTTGGGAAAATGTTCTTTTTGAAATCTTGCTCTTTTTCCCTTGTATCAGTTCGTGGATTCTTGTATTCATAAAAGTAAACACCTCTGCACAGATGACCCATTTACTCCCTCCCAGTTTCCTTTTTTTCAAACTATAAATCAGCATCCTATCTCCAACAGTTAAGCACAACATGTCTAATACTTAGTTCTTTCCAAATCCTTGTTGCCACTTCATACTATGATCAGCATAAATATCAGGACCATATAAGTATCTTAAAAGTGCTTAATTTAAATATTCTTATCAGTGTTAACTTCTGTCTAGTTCTTTAAGACATGATCACACCAATATTGCAGATTGTTTCTGCAGAAAATCTTCAAAATTCAGTCCACAATTAGTATCTATTTTCAACAAGACCCTATTACTACCAGAATTTAATGCACACTTTGTAGAAAACATGGACCTGTTTGGTTGGATCTTCGTACTTTGTAATTTTGTTTGATGACCATATTTACGGTGTGGTAAGAAACAATGACAAATTATTGTATTACATTTACTGTGTTCCTGTGATTCTTCTATAAGCTGATGAATTCTACGGTATTTGTTCCTTCATCATGAAGAAGTGAGCCTATAACTTTATTTTACTTACTGCTTTTCTCCATATCTTTTCTATCCCCATGTTAGTCTTTTTGACTTGAAAGTCCACCTCAGAGCACACCTTGCACATGTACAGGAATAGAGCAATGTTTTCTGGTTCATTTGCCATATCTTTCCTCATACTTCATAATGAATTTGCTCTTTTGAGTATCACTGAGAACTGAGCTGTCATTTTCACGGTATGATCACTCTAAGACCTCTTTCTTGAGTGACAATAGTAGTTCAGAAATCAGTTGTTTTTCTTGGCAGGCATTACTTTGCATCTAAGAAAAATGAATGTCACCTGCCATTTTAGAAATCTGGTATTTTAACACATGACTTCTGAAAGCCTTGCCAGTCAGCATTTGCTTTGACTATCATGAGTTAGTGTAATTGGCAAGCAACATTCGCTGGCTTCTCTTTTCCAGATAATTTCTAGATATGGAAAACACAGGTCTTGTACAGATCTCACTTTTCACTCTCAAAAAAATACCATTTATTCCAAACCTTTATTTCTGACTTTTTAACCAGTTGTTTGTGCATGAAAGAACTCTATTACCACATTAGTTTACTTAACAGTCTTTAATGAGGAATTTTCTAGGAATCTGTTTGGAAATGCAAGCAGACTGTATCTACCGTGTCATTCTTACCCACAAACTCATTGACTCAAAAACAAATTTAAGCCTTATTTTTCAGAATAGAAGCTCTGACTGCTAGTTTAGAAGGCATAGGGCAGTTTCACTTTCTATAGTGTTGATGGAAAGTATTGTCCTGAACATTCCTATCCAGCTGGGAATTTTTGTTTTATGATATTAAAGATGCCTGAATTATTTTAGGTTGTTAGCTGCCTGTCTGTATTCTCATACGCACAAATATCTAAGATAAATTGTTATTAATATGCAACAGATGACAAAAAAATAAAGAAATGCTCATATATATGAATAAACATTTCTGATAACTGATGTGGAATTAAGTGAATAATTTTGGTTCTATGTTAGAATGATAAAAATGAGGAAGTAGGTAGATGAGTTGTTTATTTTTTCTCATTCATCATTGGTCTTTTCAAATCTGTGATATCAGTAATTTCAGGATTGATTCATACACACCCATTGCCAGAAGGCACTTCTGTGCATATTAACCATGTGTTCTGCATTTTCTCAAATTTGCGACCTGAGGCATAAAAGGGTGTGGTGATGTATTTTCTCCTCTTTGTAGCTTGCAGTTAAATTTGGTATTTCTGCTTCCTTGGTAAAGGATGTTTTCCACCAGGTACAATTCCCTTATTTTCTTACAAATTATTTCTGGCAAGAATAATAGTACTACAGAAATCTCAAGATTAGAATATAGCAGTCTTCAGACTAGAAATATTTCTTAGTTTTCTGTGTAAAAAAGAATTTATTTATTTATTTATTTATTTCCCTCAAAACTAAAATGCGTAGCTGATAAATGTTTTCTGTGATTATGGAATGTAGAAGAAAATCTAAGAAAATCTAAAGCATTGTTCATAGCTTGACAGCTTTGAGAAGCATTACCTTCGTACTGGAGATTTCTCAGCTGTTTATCAAGTAAAATAATTTTTGTTTAGCTAGGGTGTTGTAAAATGGCAGTCTACCGTGCAGAAGGCACGCAGATGTTACCAGTTTTAAGCCAGAGATTAGAATGTCTTTCCGAATTTCTACTTTTTATCTCTCGTGGGCATTACTCCCTAGGACATGGATTTTCAGAATGGGGTTCTATCTAGATAAATGTGTCTTCAGTAGCTAGTTTTCAAAACATCTAAATAGTCATTGAAACTCTAATTTAAAAAATTGCAAATACACTGCTTGAAGAGTACAGAGTAATTTGATGTTCTTCAATGCATGTAGAAATACGACAGTAAAAACATATCTACAAGGCATTTCAAGTACAGTTATGCTTCCCAACTCCTGTCATCTCTGTATTCAAGGACATTCTTGTTTGATATGAGTTTATCCTAGGCTCAGCCTCAGAGGCATTCGAGGCCAGGATGGAAAGGGCCCTGAACATCCTGATCTAGTGGGTGGCATCCTTGTCAACAGCAAGAGCGTTGGAACTAAATGATCCCTTCCAACCCAAACAATTATATGATTCTATGATAATCCAGTATTCACAAAATTTGAACATCAGTTTCAGTATCAAGGAGCTGGAAGAGATGTTGGGGCTAGCTACATCTTTACACCATTGGCCGCAAGCAAAAGGGCAGATGAGTTGTGAGAAATCTGTAGCTTGACTGCAGTAGATGCACATATACTGGCACATAGTTCTATACTTCATATATCAGAGAAAAATTGTAATATTAAGATGTGAAGATAAACTACTATTCAGTCATGGTACTAACCACTTTTTCACATCTTAAACACACTATGCATTATTTCACTTATGCGTAAAGGGAGATGTCAGTAAATATGTCTATAGGTACAGAATAGCTTTCATACATGGAATTGCTGAAGAAAAAACATTTTCTCAGCTTGGAAAAGAATGTAATGTAGGGAAGTGAGTAAGGAAGGAATTTGACTGCTTTATTTTAAGAACAATGAGATACTCGATAAAAGGTTTAGGTAGCAGTTCAAAGAAAATAAAGAATATTTGATTTTTTTGTTAACACAAATTAACTATAGGTGTCACCATTGAAGGATAATGTGGAGGTTAGATATTTAAATTGGTTCAGAAAAACATTAGATGGATAAATGCATCATTAATCCAGGGGTGTCTGTTGTAGATAGCACTGTGTGTGCAAACTGTGTATATTCTTCCACCACTGCTTATCAGAAGCAGAAAAGTTGTACAAGGAAAAGTTAACTTTATAGTTAACTTCTTTCACTTTTTTCAAAACATCACTACATTGAGCAGCCAGATGGATGCCAGGTGGACCCTTTAAGTCTTACCCAGAATGATATAATACATTACCACTTAAAGTACTTTGCTTAAATTTTGAAAATAGGAAATGAAATTCTAATGAAGTGCTTGTTCGGTGAATCAATTACAACACTTCTGTTTGCTTCCACAGTACAGTTTGCAAGATTAGTGAGACCTCTAGTGATATTTTGGGAAACTGTAACTGCTAGTCACTGTTACATGACAGCCATGTAATGACGTAGCTATGTGAGCAATTAAATTTAAGATTTGAAGAAAGAACAGATTCTGTCCCAGTGTCCTTGAAGGATTTTCTTTAAACACAACCATCTTCTGTGATAGCTGGCTGAAGGTGGCATACAAAATGTTTTGTACATAATATTGGATTATAAATGTGGAAATAATTATATCTATAGTTATGTATCTATGGGGTACATAAAAAAAATTAAGTAATTTCCATGTGTAATTAAATTGCAGCTCAAAATATTTTTCAGCTAGTTTAACCAAATATTTAAGATAAACATCTCAACTTAGTATTTGTAATTTATTTACTTCAATTTATACTTGAGCTCTTTGGACCTTCTCTTCTTACCAAAGGACATAGTCCTGAGCAGTCTGGTGGCACTGCTCAAGGGAGGTTGGACCAAGTGACCTCCACAGGTCTTTTCCAGCCTCAACTCTGATTCTGTGATTTCATTTGTGGATTAAATATACATGTAAGTATTTAAGTGTTTAAACTGTGTTTCAGCTATGACAGCTACATAATGCTTTCTGTGAAAGTGTGACAGAGCCTTGGGCAGCCACTCTAGAATACTTAAGAGCCTTAAAAGTCATGTTTAGTTCTTAGTATAATTGTAATGGCATAATAAAATCAATTTAAGGTAAAGCAACGTAACTTCTGTGATAGATGGTACTCCTACAGGCCGTTACTAGGTTTTATCAGGCATTTTTCACTGGAGCATTTTCAAATCATATTGATCTCTAAAGCCATAAAGAAAACCATACTGCTGCATCTCTCAGGGAATGGTGAAGTGGATGGAAATAGTATGCCTTACATACTGTTTACCTGAAAAACACTGCTTTCTTTCTAGTGTTCAGTTATAATTCAAAGGAATTGCTATATATTCTACTCTATTTTATTCTATTCTAAAATTAATTGTTACAGCAATAAGGCTTAATATATCACTTAGAATCTAAACATCGTAGTCTTTTAAAACAGTTTTTCAGTGAGCTACTTAGACTGTTCAGATATGAATGCACTACGTTTATATTAAGTCAGATTCTCTTCTGTACCTTTTTTGTGGTGCTATTAAATTTGTAATCTGAACACAGGACAAAGGGATACTTCATCTTTTAATTTTATTCAGTGGCTTAAAATAAAGATCTAGAGTATGTATTTTGAATAATTTCTGTTTTGTTTGTTTATTTTTGCTTTTTCTTTTTGAACAGAATTCCAGGCAGTAGTGATATCGACAAAATAAATAAGTCTCCCACTCTGAATAATAAGCAAAACAATAGGTAAGTGTTTCGGAAATGTTATCATCTAAGCATTATATATCAGGTATTATCACCTAAGTTGCCTGTATATATAGCAAGAAAGTATAAAGAAATAATTAGTATGGTATATGCCTTAACAGTAGGTTTCATTTCACCATTTGATATCTGGAATGCAGCCATCCATGCCTAAGTTACCATGGACTCTTTAACAGGGGTGTTGGACTCGATTATCTCTTGAGGTTCCTTCCAACCCCTGTGATTCTGTGAAAGAGGATCATTTGGCGGGTAATTCAACTGATGTCTTTCAGATGCTTTGTTTTTAGAACAAGAGGAATTATTATTTCCTAGAACTGCCTATTTCTCCACATAGATTAAAAGGAAGATCAGAACAGATTTATATATTTATGTTTCATACCAATTATTTAAGAAATACAGGGTTTTAGATACAATACAGATACAGAAAAGGAAGACTGAGAATGTTTTGAAATCAATTCATTGTGGTTATGTTCTAGAGCTCTGCATTTGTTTGCATGAATTCATGAGGAAAGTCAACCGGGGGAAAAAAAATCTGACTCAGGTTTTCACTGGAAAATATCACTGAACTTTGGCCAATGGAAAACTTGATAACCAAATTGTAATAAAATATTTTTGATAGTGAGGCTGATTTTTTTTTTTTTTTTTTTTAGTAAAAATTAAACAGAAAATTAATGGTATCTTTGAAAGCTTTTATTTTTTCAGAAGTTCAAATTTCGTTACAAACAGATTAAAGCCAAAATTTCATTTAAAATAATATAGTAGAAAAACTATGAAATAATATTAAAAAAATCTGTTGTGATTCAGAGGTGACCATAGAATACATCTAACATGATTAAACAACATTCAAAATTAAATTTTGAAAGCACAGCTCTGCTAATTGAAATTTTTATTTAAAAATTGAAAGTCAGAAGTGCTCAGTTGCCATCCTTCTAAGTGTAAACAAACAAATATATTGCTGTGCGCCTTCATCAGTGCCTGTAGAGTTCTATCAAAAATAAATTGCACTGAATATGGTTGCTAGTGAGAACAGAGCACAGGAATTAAATGTCATCTTACAAAGTGCCAAGATTTTATTCTGAAGAGCAAAATAAAGCCATTTAAACATCAAATGAAGTCATTCTTTTAAATTAAAACTTTATATCATAATGTTGTAAACCACTGTGATGATGACATGAAATATCATATAAATTGGATTTTAAGTTGTAGAGTTTGGAGATCACTTTTAATAGACCCACCATGAATTCTGAACTAGGGCTTAAGTGAGACTTCAGTGGTATACACTTTCTCCTGCCAGACAGCAATGAAATATTTTTTAAAACTCCATTCTTTAGTTATTCTAATGTCATTAAGAATTGACGAAAGCAGACAATACTTTTTTGATAAAATTTATGATAAAAATCCCTGCCTTCGAATATATGTAGTTAGGAATATGAAGGATATCAGCTTCCTTTACAGGCATATAAAAAAAACAGAACAGCACTAACAGCTACATGAAAAACATAAAATTTAAAATATTAAAAATATTTTAGAACTTGGAGAGTGAAGTGTTGGTACAGAAGTCCAGATGTTCAGAAGTCAGAAATTAGTTTGGATACCTAGTAAAGACACATATTCTTTAAGTATCAGAACTCCTTAAGATATCCGAAATCTATTATTATTTGAGTTATTTCCAAAATTTCATTTGGCATATGTAAACATAATTGGACTATTTACTCTGCACAGCCATGTCTTTCTGATAAGGGAAATGTCATTTTTTATCCTTGTTTTCTCATTTAAAATGATACTCTTATTAAAGATGAATTAGTAAATGAATGAATGAAGTATATATTCTTAACAGACAATCTTGGACTCCTAATACATCATCCGCAAACACTCCTGCCACTTCTCCAATCAAGAAAAAAAGGTATTCATTGCTGCCATTGTTTGATTGGCAGAGGACATATAGCACTGTATTAAGCCTCTGTTAATAATTGTATCAAAAAACACTATCAACTTGCTCCTCTAGAAAACTCCAAGAATTCTCTGCTTTTTTTTCCCTGAGAGTACTGTGTTGAAGATAGTTTGTACTACCAATTTAATCTCTGTGGACACAATTATAGATGCTAATTCTTCAGTACAGCAAAACTATGCCTTTTCAGTGTATAAATTTAAAGTGCTATAGCACACTCTAATTACAACCAGCTGAAATCCCTCATGCCAAACATCACCCTGTGCTGTTTCATTACATAGAAACTACACAAAGGGTTTTGGAATAGCTAGCTTTAAAAATTTAGATTTCAAATAATATTGACTGAACAAGAGAAAAAATAGGGTGTAAAATAATATTTTTTTTTAAATTCAAAACATACTGCTTGGGATAGCTGTATTTTAAACATACAGTCATAGAATGGTTTGAGTTGGAAGGGACCTTTAACGCTCATCTAGTTCCAAACTTCCTGCCATGGGCAAGAACACTTTCCACTAGACAAGGTTGCTCAAAGCCTCATCCAGCCTGGGCTTGAATGTCCTTGTAGTGAAAAAATTCTTCCTAATTTCTAATGTAAGTCTACTCTCTTTTAGTTTAAAACTATTTACCCTTTGTCCTATCAGTATGCACCTCAATAATGAGTCCTCATCTTTCTTGAAGGCACATTTTAAAAACTGGAAGGCTGAAATAAGGTCTCCCTAGATACTTCTTTAGGGTGAACAACGCCAATTCTCTCAGCATCTCTTCATAGGAGAGGTGCTTCAGTGTTCTGATCATTTGGTAGTCCTCTTTTGGATCTGCTCTAGTAGATCTGCACTTCTCCTATGCTCTGGGCCCTTGAGCTCAAGACAGTAATCCAGGTGAGATCACACAAAGACAGAATAGAGGGGGGATAAGCACCTCCCTCAGCCTTCTGGCCACACTAGTTTTGATGCAGCCCAGGGTATGATTGGCTTTCTGGACTACTAGCACATACAGTTGAGTCATGTTGAGTTTTTTTATCCACCTGTGCCCACAAGTTCCTTCTCAACAAGGCTGCTCTCAGTCCATTCATCATCTGGTCTGTAGTGAAGTTTTGTGCTGACCCATGTTCAGGAACTTGCACTTGATGTTGTTGAACTTTCTGAAGTTCACATGAGCTATCTCCCAAGCCTGGCTAGATCCCTCTGGATGGCATTCCTTCTCTCTCAGGTGTCAACTGTGCGATTCAGCTTGTTGTTGTCCATAAACTTGCTGAGTAAGCTCAGTCACATTGTCCATGTCACCAATGAAGATACTACACAGTTCCAGTACTAGTATGTACCGCTGAGGAATGCCTCCCATCACAGATCTTCACCTGAACATTGAGACATTGACCACAACTGTTTAGATGTCGCCATTCAGCCAATTCATTATCCGCTGAGTAGTATACCCATCAAAAACATTCATTTGGGGCTCTCTTAAGAAATGGTCCCTTTTTCCAGCTACTGTGAAGTTCACTTGGCTTCTGTGACTTTCCACATGTTATGGATAGTGACTTAGGGATTCAGCTGCTCCTCATAAGACCTGTGCTCCAGATTCTTCACAGTTTTGTTGCCCTTCTCTAGACATGTTCCAGGCCTTCAATGTCTTTCTTGTAGTGAGGGGCCCAAAACAGAACAGAGTACTCAAGGTATGGCCCCACCAGAGCTGAATACAGGGAGACGAACACCTCCCTGGTCCTGCTGGCTACACTATTTCTTATATAAGGCAGGATGCCATTGGCATTCTGGGCCAGCTGGGCAAACTGCTGGCTTATATTCAGCTTAGCATTGACCAGCACCCCCAGATCCTTTTCTACTGTGCAGCTTTCCAGCCACTATGCTCAAGGCCTGTAGCACTGTGTGGAGCTGTTGTGACCAAAGTGCAGGACTTGGCATTTGGTCTCGTTGAACTTCATCCCATTGGTCTCAGCCCAGCTATCCAGCCTGTCCAGGTCCTTAGAAGGGCCTTCTAACCCTCAGCCAGATTGGCACGTCATCCCAGGCTGATGTCATTTGCAAACTTACTAAGGGTGCACTCATCCTCTTAGTCACTCATCACCCTCATCCAAATAATCAGTAAAAATATTAAACGGGGCCAGCCCAAATACTGACCCCTGGGGAAACACTCTTGACTTGTCACCACCTGGATTTAATTCCATTCACCACCACTCTCTGGGTCTGGCCATTCAGACAAATTTTTACCCAGCAAAGAGTGTACCTGTCCAAGCCATGGGCTGCCAGCTCCTCCAAGAGAATGTTGTAGGAACCAGCTCTCTCAGCACCTTGGGATGTATTTCATCAGGTCCCATGAACTTGCGCACATTCAAGTTTCTCAAATTATCTCAAACCTGATCTTCTCCTGTGCTGGGTAAGACTTAATTCCTCCAATCCTTGCCTTGAGATTCTGTGAACTGGGAGGCATAGGAAGAGAAATTGCTGGTGGATACAGACAGAAATGTTGTAGAATACCTCAGTTCTCTCCTCATCAGTTGTAGTCACGTTCCCCGTCTCACTCATTTTTTTGCATGAAGGGCAACCTTCCTTGTCTGTCCCTTCTGAACAGCTTTCAGCCACTCACTAGAGCACTGCAGTCATGTTATTCATCCCACCATGTTTCAGTGACAGCATTCAGATTACAGCTTTCTAGTTGGACAGCATGTACAAGCTACTCGTGTTGTGTGAATTAATATAACCACTTCAACTGGACTTTCAACTGTTGAAAGTTTCTGATGTGCTATTTTTGGAGAGCTGAGGGGCATTCTTCTACCACGTAGCTCACAAGTGCCACAGCTTTATTAGCTTCGTTAGTTTGAGGCCCAGTTCCCTGAATCAGCCAACCTGCCCGTGAAGATAATCGTTCCTTTCATAGACAAGTGGATCTCATAGTTGCCCAGCAATCTGTTTTCATTGAAATGTATTCTGTGATTGGAAATACCAAAGACACTGCAATGACATGTAGCCAGGTATTAATCTGTGTTTGTCCTACATAAGGGAGTGTTCTGTGCACTCCCTTATCTCTGGCTGGCAACATAAAGGAGACTATTGCTTGGGTCCTCATTCCATTCACTTGTGCCTCCAAGGCTATGAAGTCCTGCTTTATGTATCCTTTCAGTTCATAATTTCTGTCTGTGTTTTTTTTTTCCCATATTCCATGTTAAAACAATATGATCAGTAATATTATAAAAGTAGAAATTTCCTTCAAGAAAAGAAGTAAAACAACAGCTGAAAGTGCTTATAATACAAGACATTTATTAAAAGCCCAAAAATGTTTCTTGAGTTGGTATTCATACCTTTATTTGCTTTGTACATTCTACTTTGTTGTGTTTTCAAAGAACAATCCACTTATTTTTATCATTCAACCTGTAGAAAAGACAATGTGGAGTCAGAAAATACACTGTATACAATATACAATAGTAATTAAATTTATTATGTTATTTCCAATTCCATTCAATTGTCTGGATTTAAAGAAATGGTCTAAAGAATATAGTTATGCTGTTTTTTCAAAATATTAGTAATTTAAGAACCCTTACAGACATCCCTACACTATTTCTGAGATTCTAATGTTCTTTTGAAAAGAAATGGACTCAAACTGCTGTTCAATCCCATAACATATACTAATACTCAAGCATTTATTTGTTAACACTGACAGACAATCTTGGATGCCTCCGCCAGTTTCAAGTAATAAGACCATGACAGAAGCAGTGGAACTCGAGCGGTAAGTACTAATGATCATTAGTTACTTCCTTTTATAATTTTTTGCTAGATCTGATTTCACATGTAAGTCTACAGGGCTAAGTAAGATGGTATGGGTAGAAAAAGGATCCCATGTCTAAAGACTTGTTTGGGCTCTAATCAGCTTGGTGCCCATGACTGACTGAGGTGTATGTGAAGTGCCAAAGACTTGAGGTTGCATAAGTGCTCCAGAATTTTTCTACAATGCATGTACATTTTCTTTGTGATTTTACTTCAGAAATGACTTACTAGTCATACGGGCAGGAATCTATTAATGCCTCTTGGTCAGATAGATGGGGGCTGACTGACCAATCTGATGGTCTTATATGGTGGGGTGATGGCATCAGTGAACAAAGGAAGGGCAAATAATATCTTCTACCTGGACTTGTGCAAGGCCTTTGACATGATCTCACACCATATATTATCTCTAAAACGGAGAGAGATGAATTTGAAGGGTGGATAGAGATTCATTGGATGGTCTAGCCAGAGGGTTGTGTTCAATGACTCTATATCCAGATGGTGAAACAGTGTCTCCTAGGTAGTCCATTTTGGGACCAGTGCTTTTCAACATATTTATTAGTGACATAGACAGTGGGGTTGAGGGTACTCTCAGCAAGTTTGTTGATGACACCAAGCTGAATGGTGCAGTTGATATGACAGAAGGAAGGGATGTCATACTGAGAGATTTGGACAGGCTTGAAATGTTGGACCATGTAAACCTAATGAGATTCAATAAGACCTCGTGCAGTGCATTGCATTTAGGTCAGGGCAATCTCAGATATGTATACAGACTGAGAGAAGAATTCATTGAGAGCAGCCCTGTGAAGGATTTAGAAGGTTTGGCCAGAATTCAAAGTCACTCACCAACCACTGGAAAGCCAGTGCTTAACAGATATTTTAATATGTCAGCTGCAATGAATTTATCTGACTTAATTTCAGGATCTCACTATGATCATGGTAATTTTGAAAGGAAGGAATGCATCTTTATATGACACCTGACCAGCTTCCAGTAAAATACCAAGATTCCTATATCCTTCTTAGCACTAATTATCCAATTACTTCTCTACCCTCATCAGACAGAGATGACTGAAATACAGGCCTATTCTTGATGAAGCTTTCATGAACTCTTGCCATTCTTGAATCATCTTACAATGTTATAAAGCATACTTGGTTAAACAGTGATGGGCATTAAATGATTAATTTGTTTATCTTTGAAAAGTGCTTTGAGGATGGGTAAGCTATTTGAAATTGTGAAAAGTACTGTAAATAATAATAGCCAAAGGGGAGCCTTTTATTTGCTTATGAGTTTCAGAAAATAAAGTGTGATGTCTATATGCTAATAACCACAGTTTTAAAAGGTCGCTATCAGTCTTAGGGACAGCTGGGGCAAAGCACTGTCTTTTCTTCAAATACGAGAATGGCCTATGTTCTGCTATGTTTACTGTCTTCAGGAAAGCAGTTCAGCAATGAAGGATTATTTTTCTATTGAGTTTATAATTTGATAACTTTTTCTAACTCTGAGACCCAATTTTAGTTTTCTGTATTCAAGCATGACACATGAACTTTTATAGTGCTTTGTCTCAGTCCTAAATGGATGAATAACACTCTACAGAATGCTTAAAAAAAATTAAGCTAAGCATATAAGCAGCTGATTGTAATTGAGTTTTCTGGCCTGTGAATTGTATGCTGTAAACAAAACACTGTTGATCTGTGATTTACTGGAGAATATTAACTGAAGAATTAGTGCCTTAGTAATATATAAAGAGTATGATTAGAATTACATCATTATAGTACTTGGGTTAAACGAATTATATGCTACATTAAGTAACAAGGAAAAGTACATTCTTGAAAGAAGAAAAGTAAAATTAATTGCTAACTATTGATCTAAAAGCTTGCAAAGTGCTTCAGTATTAGCATTGTGTTTCTGAAATTTTTTTTTTTCTCTTTCCTAGGGCCACATCATCAGAAAATTTGGAAGATCCAACAAGGTATGTCTTATCTTGCTTCCTAGTAAGTTTAGATATGCAACATATCGCTATGCACAAACACTGATTATTATTTTATATTTATTCATATAGCATATTTATTATACTAGTGTATCTAGTCAGGATCCCAGAATTGCATGAGGAAGACATCCTTCTTTGCAGAAATATAGTTATGTTCATATAGTTTAAAACACTTCATTGGATATTTACTCAAAATTTAAAAACTGTAGTGGCATAAAAATATTTAAAATTGCTTCAAAATTTTAATTTCACAATTGTATATGTAGTTAATGCGACCATTTGTTTATGCTAAACTGATGTTTTAAAGAGTGAAAAAGAGAATGAGTAAGCAAAGTAAAGAAGGAGAAAATCATAAATGGAAAAGTTATACAAATTCAAAGTTTTGCAATAGAAGGCATTAACATATATAATGATTTGTTGTAAAGTCTCCCTAGAATTCGAGTGTTTGCAAAAGTTGCTCCAATTTCAGAAAATAAGTTTATTAAAACAATTCATTAATGAAATGTACATTTCACATGGCCTAAATTAGGAAAAGATTACTTAAAAAGTCTGTAATTTCATGGCTTATGATGAAGGAAGCTGCAAAACTTGTCATAATTTAATCGCCATTGTAATAGAAAGACTGTCTACAGAAACATGGACTCTCATTTCCAGTTGTATCTGCCACTTTCTCTTATCATTTCAGGGTGTTTCAAAAGTGACCAATCTGACTGATCCTGTCAGAAATAACTAAACATATCTACAATGATAACTAACATAAGTGATAAATTATGTAACCTGTTTCCAAATATCATATGCATTAAGTATGTTTTCACCATTTGCATTGCAGTGCTGCTTTTTCATCAGAACAAGTCACTTCTCAAAAATCAAAGACTGATGTGGATGATCAAGCTACAGCAAGGTAACAGAAACTGACAGTTAAAATGATGTTATAGTACGTGATAAATGTCATCTTATGTACTCTTTTATTTTTCATTTTCATCTTTGATAGCTTTTTTGGTCATGGTGTATGATAAATGCAGCATTTCTCTACTGCTAACAATTGTCCTAGAAGTATGAACTTTGAGTCCCACCTCACTGACTTGCTAAGTTATTTCAGATGTCTTCATTTTTAATTCATTCAGTGCAACTAGCTTGCATCATAAAGGACAGTATATAGGTAGATGCTGCAAAAAATAAAAAAGATAGAGGCAGACACATTGCAGTAGCATGGTTTGTATAGTATATTTTCTTGGAGCTTCAAGAAATTGTGGGAGTATCTTCACACTGCTACATATATAAAAAGCTCCAACTTTGAGATTTTACATAGGAAAAAATAGCAAATTAGTATGTTTATACAGATGCATTTGTTCTTAAGTTAGATGGCATACGTAGTAATGTATCTTAGAAATGTTTCAGTATAAAGAATACTGTGAAAACAACTGGTGGAAAAGACAGAAATGTTGTTTTACTGAAATTCCAGTCAACTGTAAGAATCTCTACTAACAGAGATGGCATGTTTTTTCAAAACAATCAGCAATACTGTGGGGTGATGGTTTTACACTGATGGGAGCTAAGCTCCACCATGCCACTTGCTCGCTTCCCCTCCTCCAAAGAACAAGGGGAGAAAATACAGTAGAAAAAAAAACAGCTCATGGGTTGAGATACTTTGAGTAAAAATATTCTACCAGAATAAAATGCCTGAATATGCAACTAAAAAGTGCATGAATTAGAAGTAGATTTCTAGGTGTGCACTGAGAATTATGGTAGCTCAGATTTGTAGTTTTTAACTAGAATTACTAAATTGTGCAGATACTTAAATTAGTCCTGCTTCGTTAATTCAATTTTGTTTGATTCATAATATGTAGTTTTGTGGTCAGCAGTCACAGTTTATACTATTTTGAATATTGTTCCCTCCCTTCAGTATGTAAAATCAGTACAGAATAGTTAAGGATAACATGCAGAAAACGTGACAGTGCAATTCCTTGGAAAAAGCAGTGCTTTAGCGAAACATTTTCCTGTCAAGAAATGTGGGAGATCTTAGAGAATTAAATATGCCTCTGCATTAATGAGGGAATTCACAGCCATTCTTCACTTGTAAAAGGCATGTAAAAGTCTTAATCCCCAGCCTCAGTCAGTCCACATCAATAGTCCCCAGGGTCTCTCATTACCATCTTGAGCTTTGTATTCTAGTCCTCCAATTGGCAGAGAGCTGGAGGAATATTTGACTGATCTACAAGTTACTATGGTAACCTCACACTAACTACAGCTATATGTGTCACTATGTAAACTATAAGTAGCCTGCAATCTTCATGGGCAAAATTCTGCTCTCTTTCCTCCTGCTATAATTCCTTTACATTTGGCTGATGATTTATATGTCAACCATCTGCTACTCGTGTGTCAATTTCACAAAACTACAATTTTTTGCTGAATTTATGCTAACCAAAAATGCATTAAGCAGCTGTCAGCAGAAGCTCCTTTCTTCCTTTAAAGATGACATATCAATACTATGCTTTTGTCAAAAATGCTTGCGCCACACAGGAGAAATAAATGGCAACATTAACAGTATTTCTAGTAAAACTGACACGTATAAGAAATTTTACATCCTTTAATTTCATGTATTTTTATTCAAAATGCGAAGATTTTCAGGTCATGCTTTTTGAAGCTATATTTAATTGATTATTTGGCTTTTGTTAAGGACTCTGATATGAATGTAAATGGCATAATGGATTAATTTCAGTATAAAATAAAGAGAATATGCTAAGTGGTTTTCTATCAAACCTCATTAGTGACATAAAGAAAATCTTTTGAAAGGACTTACCTGAAAAGAATGGCAGATATTTTCTTTTGGCTGAAAATGTAAGCTTCACTATGCACTGCTAAATGAAAAGCCTAAGCCTGCCTCTATTAAAGTAATAAACAATTAACGTGTTGTTTTCAAATAGAAGAGTTACATGTAGTATCTGTCTTAAAGCAAAAATAAATTTAGAATACATGGAGGCATAATTCACCTATGGACTGCCACCCATTTTGTGTGATTAACAGACTAGAATAGGCAAATTGCAGTTTTTTAGGGCATCTAACGGTTCCACAGACAGCATAAGTAAGTAGGGTAGAAGCCAGAAAAGGCAAAGAGAACCACTATGTAATAATTGTGTATTTTTTCAGAATATTACAGGCCGTCCTCAAATCAGGTATCTGGATATTTTTCTGTCTTACACTATGGGTCCTTTTTCACTCAGAAAACTCAGGAAACAGTATCTCAGGAGAAGTTCATGAAAGAATCATATAAAACACTCAGGAATTTCATTTTTATATGTTCATATTTAGCTTGGAGAAGAGAAGGTTCCAGGGAGACCTCACTGTGGCCTTCTAATACTTGGAAGGGAGCATATAAACAGGAGGGGCAATGACTGTTTACGTGGGTGGATAGTGATAGGACAAGGGGGAATAGTTTTAAACTAAGGGGAGATTTAGGTTATATATTAGGAGGAAGTTTTCACACAGAGGGTGGTGACGCACTGGAACAGGTTGCCCAAGGAGTTTGTGGATACCGCATCCCTGGAGGCATTCAATGCCAGCCTGGATGTGGCTCTGGGCAGCCTGGTCTGGTGGTTGGCGACCCTGCACATAGCAGGGGGGATGAAACTAGGTGATCATTGTGGTGCTTTTCAACCCAGGCCATTCTATGATTCCTTTAGTCATTTATACATTGTTTACCAAGTATTTTTTGTATTTTGTTTCCATTTCAGCGGAGAACAAAGATTTTCATTTTTTTTCCATGACAGAATCTCAGCAACTATAAAATGCAGTCACTTAGACAACTGCATTACAAACCATGTCCTGTGGGCAGTCTTGTTAAATCATTTCAAACATCCTGTAAGGGTGTTTAACACAACTTTAGTCTATTTTTCATTATTGATGGTTATAGGGAAATTAAAATGTATGTTTCTATGAAATACTTTTAAGAGAGAGTTCACTTGTATTTAACTAAGATGTTTTCTTACATATGATCTATACAGAAACCAACAGTATTTGTGTCAGAGGGCCATGTTTACCGTGTAACAGAAGTATTATCACCAAAAGAATTGGAATAATTTGAAATCCAAATGTCATAAAATCATAGAATATCTTGGATTGGAAGGGACCTTAAAGATCATCTAGTTCCAAACCACTTGCATGGACAGGTCTGCTACTCGCAAGATTGGGCTGTTGAGTACCCACAAGGTCAGGTTGCTCAGTGCAGCGTCTGAGGCTTGGACTCAGCTGTGAACAATCCAAATCATTCACTGCAGGTTCTAACATCCCTTATGTACATTTTCAAGTTCCCTCTTGTAACTTTCCATTCCTCCCAACATGTCAACAGAACACTTCAGTCTTCTTCATGTCAAGGGACTAACTGCCCACACCAGTGCTCATCCAATCAGAGCCACAAGTTGCTTCTATTTACACGTTTCTTCTCCAGTCAAGGTCACCACACAGCGATTACCACTTGACTTCTGCTCTTATCTCCTGGAGACAGTCTTTATTCTGAGTGTCCTCTTCCACACACTATCAAACTTGTTTTTCAGTCTCTATTCTGAACATTGTCTTGAAACCCACAGCCCATCCAACCTTGAATGTCTCCAGAGATGGAATGTCCACAGCTTCTCTAGGCACCTGTACCAGTGCCTCACCACTCTCTGAGCAAATAATTTCTTCCTATACTTCCTATAGCATCTAACTTAAATTTTCCCTCTTTTACCTTAAAGGAATTTCCCTTCATCCTATCACTATCAACTCATGCAAAAAGTTGGTCTCCTCCTGTTTGTAAGTTCTCTCCAAGTACGGAAAGAGCACAATGAAGTCTCCCCAGAGCCTTCTCTTCTCCAAGCTGAATAAATCCAGCTCCTTCAACGCTTCTTCATAGGAGAGCTCCAGCCCTCTGATCATTTCTGTGGCCTTTTTCTGGACCCGCTCCAGCAGCTCCACAACTTTTTTTTGCCGAGAACTTCAGACCCAAATGCTCCAGATAGGGTCCTACAAGAGTAGAATAGACAGGAACAATCCCTTCCCTTGTCCTGCTGGCCACCGCTCTGCTGATGCAGCCCAGGATACTGTTAGCCTTCTGGGCTGCAAATGCACACTGCTGGCACATGTCCAACTTTTCGTCCCCCAGGACACTCAAGCACAGGGCTGCTCTCTGTGAGTTCTTTTCCCAGTCTCTATTCATATCTGGGACTGGCCCAACCAATCCAAGTGCAAAACTTTGCAGTTGGTCTTGTTGAACCTCACTAGGTTCACGTGTGCCCACTTTTCAAGCATATCCAGGTTCCTCTGGATGGCATTCCTTCATTCTATTTTGTCATCAAATTCCTAGTAGTTCATAAATTTAAGAAGAAATGTATTGTAGTGCTATAGAGGTATTATATTTTCATAGGTATATCAGATATATCTGAGAAACTTTTGAGGTAATAGTAGCAGGAGCTACATAAGAACTGAAAGAGACATCTCAAGCATCTGAAGTAATATTGGCTGCTAACAGTGAATGACTATTAATCTGCAGAAGCACATATTAAAGGAGCTATTACATACATTTGTCTTTTTTTTTTTTTTGACATACCATTTACAGTGCAGATAGGTTGAAAATGTCTCAGCTGTGTATTTGTATGTATATGGGTGAGAAAAGTAATTTCTAGGGATCAGACTCGTAGAATCATAGAATGGTTTGGATTGGAAAGGACCTTTAAGATCATCATAGCCAACCCCCTTGCTATAGGCAGGAAATGAGGAACTAGAATATTTTTGTGATGCTTTAGCATTATATTTTCTATAAAGTACTGTACTAGGTTTTTCTGTTCTGTACAGGGTAATTCACTATAATTATTCCTCTTAGGGAGCTGCAAATTTAATGGTTCTGTAAATACATTTTATTATGCTCCT